TGGGGCTCCCAGGGTCCCAAGGAGGATATGTAACATGTGGTCTTCTGGGCCCCCAGGCTGGCTGGACCACCTCTTGCGCGGCATCTGCGAGCTCAGAGTTGCGAGAATGTCTTGTGCGAAACAGGCCGGACCACCTTGCGCACGGCATCTCAGAGCTCAGAGTTGCGAGAATGTCTTGTGCGAAACGGGCCGGACCACCTCTCGCAAGGCATCTCAGAGCTCAGAAGTTCGAGGATGTCTCAGGCGGGCTCCCAGGGTCCCAGGGAGGATATGTAACATGTGGTCTTCTGGGCCCCCAGGCTGGACCACCTCTTGCGCGGCATCTGGGAGCTCAGAAATGTGAGAATGTCTTGTGCGAAACAGGCCGGACCACCTTGCGCACGGCATCTCAGAGCTCAGAGTTGCGAGGATGTCTCAGGCGAGACGGGCCGGACCACCTCGCGCAAGGCATCTCAGAGCTCAGAAGTTCGAGGATGTCTCAGGCGAAACGGGCCGGACCACCTCTCGCGCGGCATCTCCGAGGTTAGAGTTTCGAGGATATCTCAGGCGAAACGGCCCGGACCGCCTCGCGCAAGGCATCTCAGAGCTCAGAGTTTCGAGGATGTCTCAGGCGAAACGGCCCGGACCACCTCTCGCACGGCACCTCGGGGTTCAGAGTTTCGAGGATGTCTCAAGCGAAACGGCCCGGACCACCTCTCGCGCGGCGTCCCGGAGCGCAACTTTTCGAGGATGTCTCAGGCGAAACGGCCAATCCCGGCCAACTCAGAAACGAGAGTTGTGAGGATGTCTCAAGCGAAACGGCCCGGACCATCAAATTTTCGTGAGGATGTCTCTGCTCCGACTTCCCTCGGCTGGAGTTAGCTTCTATCACAACAGCACCCCATTCAGCAAGCTGTTTGGGGAAAAAGGAATGCTCACGGCGCTAAGGCGAGAGCCACATGTTGAAAACGAAGAGGAGGAGGAGGAGGAGGAGGAGGAGGAGGAGGAGGAGGAGGAGGAGGAGGAGGAGGAGGACGCAGGACGCAGCATAGAACGTACAAGCAACGAATCGCGAGCACGCCAGGGCAAGGAAATATGGAGGGCACAACTTAAAACATAAGACGTGCCGCGTGCGAGGTCAGACCGCCATCGCACGCCCGAGAGACCCAACAGAAACTAAAACTTAGCCCCGGTTGCTGGGTGCCGCCCGTCGGCGAGCCAGTCCCTGGCTCTACGCCGGGCGGGGTTCGGGGGGCCCGAAGGGCAGACCTCCCCAAGGGCATCGATTTTGGGAGACCCGATGGCCACACGAGCCCCACACCGAATACAGAACAAATATGGCCCAGAACGCTGGACCTTATGGCCGTCGCATTCGAAGAGGATCCCACTCTCCACCGCCCCGTCGGCCGCAGCAGCAGCAGCAGCAGCAGCAGCAGCAGCAGCAGCCCCAGCAGCCTCCCCTTTCCCTTGGCTACGCCACCCGAGCTGCTCAACAGCCAGGGCGAGGGCCTGGAACATGGGCGGCGGCTCACATTTGGCCCCTGGCTTCAAAAGCGTCTTAACACTGGCAGGTGTCCGAGCCACGGCAAGACAACGCCTGCACTGCAGCGCGGACGAGCCAGGTGCCAGGGGGACAGGGTCATGGGCGATAATGACGAGCTTATCGCGCCTCTCCGCCACTTCCTTGGGCAAAGGAGGGCCAGAGTCCTGAGCCTCAGGACGAGCGCAAATCAACTGCACCGCCCTCGACAAGAACTCATATGTACACTTGCACTCTTTGACGGAACGCTGGAGGGCATCGACCGCGAGTTGTGCAACAGCGACGTCCTTAGCCCCGAGTTTGGCGAAGAAATCGGCCCAAGCATTTCCCATGAACCGGTGGATCTCCTCAGCCGACGCTCCCTCGTCGACCAGCTGCTCCAAAGACCGATGCGCGGGAGGCCAGATCATCGACGGCCGCGAACCCGACCGCTCAGACAATCTAAAAATCTTCCGCCATATCGAAGCGTGGCGCGCGAGGCCGCACTCAAGCTTAGAGTCCCAGCCCTGGCACTCGCGGACAAAACTACGGTGATCGCTGACGATCGTGAGATCAGAAGGGCCCACGCGCATCGCCTCAAGGCCAGCCCACCGCTCGCCCGGACGAGGAGGAGGAGGAGGAGGAGGAGGAGGAGGAGGAGGAGGAGGAGGAGTAGGAGGAGGAGGAGGAGGAGGGGAGGAGGAGGGAGGAGGAGGAGGAGGAGGAGGAGGAGGAGAGGAGGAGGAGGAGGAGGAGGAGGAGGACGTGGAGGTGGAGGAGGAGGAGGAGGAGGAGGAGGACGAGGACGAGGACGAGGAGAGGCAGGAGATATGTTCCCCTTTCTCCTTTCCCACCTCCATCCCTTACCTCCTCAGGGAGAGTAGAGACAAGGAAGATTATCAGGAGGATGAGGAGGAGGAGGAGGAAGGGGGAGGAATGGGGAGGAAAGAGGAGGAAGGAGGAGGAGGCCGCAATGGCGTCTCGGGGTCTGGAGCTCAGCGGCTCTCTTGAGACGCCGGGGCCAAGTCCAGTGACCGCGCCGAGCTCTCTGCCGCCGTCACCGTCACCACGAACACCGTCACCGTCTCCGCGCCCTCTCTGCCAGCGCAGTCGCGCCCCGGCGCCCACGCGGTCCTCCGACCGAGCTGACCCTTCCTCCGCCTCAGCCGCGACCGTTGCCCGCCACCGCCGCCGCTCTCTGCCGCGCCGCCCCCACTGCGCGCGAAGGCGCGGTCGGGGGCTCCGCGGCGCCGACCTCGGACGAGTCCTCCGACAAATGCGTCGGGTCCGTGCAGGTGCTGGTGGGGCGTCGACTGACCACCTTGAGACGGGGGCCAATGCAGTCGGGGGTCAGCCAGAGCGCCGGATCTTATTACAGGATCCTGCAGAGCCAGGGGTGCCTTAACCCGGGCTGGCGCGCAGGATCCTGCAGGATTCTGCAGGGTCCTTCAAAGCCTGACTGACCCTGGTTGGCATTGACCCGGGCCAGTGCGTCCCCGAAGTTGGAGCGGCGGGTTTCTGGCTAATCTCGGCCTCCTGGGAGCCCTCCACGGGCGCCAGAGGTCTGGGTCGAGGCAGGCCAAGCCCCGCCAGGATCGGCGAGCTGGTCCGTCGATGCTCCCCACAAGGTTGATGGGCTTGTTTTCCACCACCACCACTACAAGTTGGAGGGGGAGGGGGTCCTCCTCCACCTCCTCCTTCCTCCTCCTCCTCCTCCTCCTCCTTCCCCCCTCCAACTTATGGTGGTGGTGGTGGTGTAAAACGGGCCCATCACAGGTGGCGGGCCACGGGCAGGTGTCGCTGGTCAGCGCGGGCGCGAACGCGCCGCCCACAGCCTCCCGGGCTCCTTCGGCGCCGGGCAGTCGACGGGGTCCGCGCGCGCGGCCGCCGAGGGGGTTCTGCGCGGCGGCGGGGGGGCTCCGCCGCCATCGAGAGGCGGAGGTTCGCCGCGCCCCTTTTTCCAGAGCGTTGCGAACGGGGTTATTGGGGAGAAGGTTTTCCGGAGGTGGGGACGCAAAGAATATACACCACCACCACCACCACCACCCCACCACCACCACCACCACCACCACCACCACCACCACCACCACCACCACCACCACCACCACCACCACCACCACCACCACCACCACGTCGATTCCTCCTCTCTCCTCTACCCTCCTCTTGATCTCCTCTTTCCTGGGAGAGGGAGGGGGTGAGGGAGGTGGTGGTGGTGGTGTATATTTATATATATATATATATATATATATATATACATATAACGGCGCACCGGGTCCGGGGGCCCGGGGCCGGGACCTCGACCACAAATGTGCACCCCGGGGGCCCCGGAGGCTCGTCGGGGCTTGCCGGAGGCCTCCCCAGTCAGACAAGACGGCCCCAGAAACGCCCAAGACGGCCCAAGAAACTTCCAAGAGGCCTCCAAGAGGGCTCCGAGATGCTGAAGATGGCCTGCAGACGTCCAAGGACGCCCCCCAAGACGCTCCAAGAAGCCTCCAACATGCGTCCCAAGAGGGTCCCTAGACGCAAAAATTGGCCCATTCCCTTCGTAAAACGTACATGTTTCACAAAGTTGCCTTTTGGGCTTTCCGACGTTACAGGACGGCCCAAGAGGCGCCCAAGACCGCCCCAAGACGGCCCAAGAAGCTCCCAAGAGTGCCCCAGGACAGCCCAAGAGGGCCCCAAAACGGCCCAAGAGGCGCCCAAGATGGCCCAAGAGGGCCCCAAGACGGGCTCAAGAGGGGGCCCAGAGGGGGACCACGAACCGCAAGCTCGAGCCTTCCGCCCCAAGAGGCCGCCAGCAGGCCCCAAGGAGGCCCCTCAAGAGGCCCCAGGAGACCCCAGACGTCCAAGGACGCCCCCAAGAGGCCCCAAGAAGCCTCCAACATGCGTCCCAAGAGGGCCCCTAGACGCAAGAATTGGCCCATTCCCTTCGTAAAACGTACATTTTTAACAAAGTCGCCTTTTGGGCTTTCCGACGTTACAGGACGGCCCAAGAGGCGCCCAAGACCGCCCCAAGACCGCCCAAGAAGTTTCCCAGAGGGCCCCAGGGACAGCCCAAGAGGGCCCCAAGACGGCCCAAGAGGCGACGGCCCAAGAGGCGCCCAAGATGGCCCAAGAGGGCCCCAAGACGGGCCCAAGAGGGGGCCCAGAGGGGGACCACGAACCGCAAGCTCGAGCCTTCCGCCCCAAGAGGCCGCCAGGAGGCCCCCAGGAGGCCCCTCAAGAGGCCCCAGGAGACCCCAGACGTCCAAGGACGCCCCCAAGAGGCCCCAAGAAGCCTCCAACATGCGTCCCAAGAGGGCCCCTAGACGCAAAATTGGCCCATTCCCTTCGTAAAACGTACATTTTCAACAAAGTCGCTTTTGGGCTTTCCGACGTTACAGGACGGCCCAAGAGGCGCCCAAGACCGCCCCAAGACGGCCCAAGAAGCTTCCAAGAGGGCCCCAGGACAGCCCAAGAGGGCCCCAAGACGGCCCAAGAGGCGCCCAAGATGGCCCAAGAGGGCCCCAAGACGGGCCCAAGAGGGGGCCCAGAGGGGGACCACGAACCGCAAGCTCGAGCCTTCCGCCCCAAGAGGCCGCCAGGAGGCCCCCAGGAGGCCCCTCAAGAGGCCCCAGGAGACCCCAGACGTCAAGGACGCCCCCACGACGCTTCGCGTCACCAATTTCTTCTCACAACGATTCCTGGGTCTGTGACTCGACAGAACCTAAGCGCGCGCGAAGCGCGCGCGTGGTTCTAGTATATATAATATATATATATATATATATATATATATATAATATATATATATATATATACCAAGGAGGGGTCCCCCTGGGGCTTCGCACCCCCTGTTTTGACGAGGCTCCGAGGCCCCTAGGGTGCTCTCTGGAAAACCCCCTCCCCCCAACCCCCCTTTGGAACCGGCTGAATTTTCTGTCGGCCGAGGTGTTCGGAAGTTGTCTCCGGAGGTTTTGCGGAGGTTCCGGGCAGGTCTTTTCGTGAGGTGGTCGGAAGTCCCAAAGGCTTGTGGAGACGTCCTGCCGTTCCCGCATGTTTTCGGATGCGTTGTTTTTGCATCGCTCCCTACCGCTTTCAAGCGTCTTCGGAGGCCCCAGAGGCGTTCGGAGCCTTCCGAAGATCTTCGGAGGTTCTCGAAGGGATCTCGAACCTCCGCGGAGGTTTTCAGAGGTTTCGGGACTTTTTTGATCAGGAGGTGAAAATGCGCACACATACCAACAATCGTCGATGTCCAGGGAAGTGCGGGAAAATCTGAGAGATGGAGGGAATGACGACAATCCAGGGACTGTAACAGATATGGGGATCCGTGGGATTTGTGTCCATTTATTTGTGTGTCCCTGGGCCCCCGTCATCTGATGTTTTGCAGGGACTTTCGGATCTTTCCGGGAGGCTCCTGGAGGTTTCACGGGAAGAGTCCCGCCGTGCACGGGCTCGGGCGGCGGAGCGGGCCCCGCCAGTGTCCGCTTGTTCCGCCGAACAACATTTTTGGCGTCGCTCGGACGTGCGCGTTTTTTTTTCCTCGGCGAGGACCAGCGGGGAGCATCTTGGGTTATCTTGCGAAGCAAGGGTCGCACGACACCGAGAAATACTCTGGGAATGGATGTCTGAGCGTCGATGGCGAGAGTATTGTCACTGACGCTGGAATCAAAGATGGCACGCCTCAGCAATGCGCGATCTGCCCAGCGAGACGATCACCGAAACAAGTTTTGGCGCGTTTGGGCTCCAGGACAGGACGATGCCAGCGCTGGAATCTGGCACTCGGCGCCTGCCGGACTTTGCACAGGCACTGCGGGGGTATTGACCGGCAGTGCGTGGCCCATTTTGTGAGTGCGTGCGTCAGCATGCGAAGGGCACTAACCCTGCGTACAGCGTGCGGTAGGTTTGCGTCGTGTCGACCAGCGGCGACCCCAGCGCGGGCGTTCAAGGTTGAACGCCGCCGGCGACCCAGAATCGATCGATGGTGAACGATCGGACGTTGCGGCAGCGGCCGATCGTTCAAGGTTGAACGATCCCTGCGGTGTCAAAAACCAACGCTGGGGTCGGCACGACACGAACCTGCCGTACGACGATTGAAGACGGAGGCTCCTGGCAGAACCGCGCGGCGGGACCCCTCACACGCCACCCCCAGGCAGAGCGGCGGAGCCGCTCCTCCTCCTCCTCCGCCTCCTCCTCCTCCTCCTCCTCCCTCCTCCTCCTCCCTCCTCCTCCTCCTCCTCCTCCTCCTCCTCCTCCTCCTCCTCCTCCTCCTCCTCGTCCTCCTCCTCCTCCTCCTCCTCCTCCTCCTCCTCCTCACTCTGCACGCTCTGCCGTGCACACGCTCTGCGTGTCGAGAAGCCCGCGTCCCTGGCCCACGTCGGTGCGCGAGCTCCTGCGTGCGCTCGGCGTGGCGCTCGCCGCGCACGGGCGGGCTCACGGCGGGCCGCGCGAGGGCTGAGAGCAGGAGAGGAGGAGGAGGGAGGAGGAGGAGGAGGAGGAGGAGGAGGAGGAGGAGGAGGAGGAGGAGAGGAGGAGGAGGGAGGAGGAGGGAGGAGGAGGAGGAGGAGGAGGAGGAGGAGGGAGGAGGAGGAGGAGAGGAGGAGGAGGAGGAGGAGGGAGGAGGAGAGGAGGAGGGAGGAGGAGGAGGAGGAGGAGAGGAGGAGGAGGAGGGGGAGGAGGAGGGAGGAGGAGGGAGGAGGGAGGAGGAGGAGGAGGGAGGGGGGGAGGAGGGGAGGGGGGGGAGGGAGGGGGAGGGGGAGGGAGGAGGAGGGAGGAGGGAGGGGGAGGAGGAGGGAGGAGGAGGAGGAGGAGGAGGAGGAGGAAGGAGGAGGAGGCACCACGAGTGCCCCTGTGCTCTTCGTGTTTGGGCTCGCCACCTCGGAGTGCTCTTCGCCTGGTCTGTGGGGGCTCGGGCTTCCTCCTCCCTCTTGGACCCCACCCCGCTCAGCCTGAAACCTCCCTCCTCCCCCCTTCCTCCCTCCTCGGTCCGCCTCCTCCTGCAAACGTGTTTTTGCATACCATGATGCCCGTGCGCTTGCAGCGCTGCTTACATTACCTCGTGGTCTCTCGCGTGAACTTGGGGAGACATGACATGCATCATTGGTTTTATAGTTGTGCGTGTAGAGAGGGAGAGAGAGAGAGAGAGAGAAAGAAAAGAGAGGGACAGAGAGAGAGAGAGAGAGAGATCGAACACGCTATTCGACACGATGACACTCACCGCCCGCTTGTCGCCCAGCCCCGCCTCCGATTCGGCGCAGCGGGCAAAGAGGCTCGTCTTTCACGAGGATTTCCACCACGATTGCACAGCTAAGGGTAAGTCTGTGCGGCGCTTGGGCGAGAACATCATTTCGCTTCCTCGCGAATGCCCCAGCCTGCGACGGATTACAAGCGAAATCGATTGTAGGATTATGTAGCCGTCCCAAGGGTACCCTTGCATCCTTGCCTTCTCGGTCCATCCTTAACCACTTTCGATGGCCAGCCCCGGTTGAGAAGCCTCGACATGGGCGCCTGAGGGGCTTGCACCCTTATCGTGAATCCGTACTCTCAATCTTGATTGTATGGGGGGGAGCAGGCATGCTCCGCCCAGAGGGGAACGCGCACCTGTCAGGAAACACCTGCGCGTCGGTATGACGAAAGCGTCACTCCGTTGTCTCGCGAGCGATGTGCGCCGTGCTCCGTTCCTGCGGAACATCCGTGTAGAGCAGGGAAATGCTAACGCTGTGTCTGGGGCGAGCACGCGGGGAAGGGGGGCATTCGGTGTACCACGGAAGGCTGCAAGGAGCAGGAACAGGAGGAACAGCAAGCTGGCCATCTCGAGCGAGTCGGCGGGCTCCCCGCCCACTTCCACCACCCTCCGCCTGGGTGCCGCGCCGGCTCGTGACTCCGAGGTGCCCGGGGAGCCCGCGGCGGAGACGGAGGTGATGTCCGGCAGCAAGCTGGCCAGCCGGGCCCGCTCTCAACCAGGGTGGGCCAGGCCGGTGTCCCGGACCAGGGGGGGAGGGTGGACTTTGTCCGAGGGTCGCGGAGGGGTCGTGGAAGTTCAGACCCTTCTCGACCCCCCGACTCTGACGAGTCAGGGGGGGCTGGGGTAGCTTCAGAGGCCAAGGCTCGGAGGCGACGACAGGCGAAGCTCCGAGGGGTGGGCATTGCACGTATCCGCCCGGGAGATGCTCCCCCCCTGGGTTTGCACGCCCCTGGCGCAGCCGCCGAAAAGGCAGGGTCGCTGGCCCAGCCGCCGAAACAGCAGGGTCTCCTGTCTCTGCGGAGTCGAACCACCCTTTCTTCCCAGCGCGGAGGTCCAGTCGTTGCGGCGGCACCGCTGGATACGGAGTCCTCCTCCTCCTCCTCCTCCTCCTCCTCCTCCTCCTCCTCTTCCTCCTCCTCCTCCTCCTCCTCCTCCTCCCTTTGAGGGGCTCTGAGGCTGTGGATGTCAAACTCCTCCTCCTCCTCCTCCTCCTTCTCCTCCTCCTCCTCTAGCCTCTTCTGGCCCGGATCGGGTCTGCAGGGGTAGAAACATTGGGAAGGGCTCTGTCTCTCCTGCGAGCCAAGTTTTGGCGTCTGGGTTTCCTGGGTGGCGTCCCCAGGATTCTTGGATTCTAAACGGTTACTGCGGCCTGGCTGGCCTTACATCCGTCACGGCGCCGCCATGTCGCGCCGCCTCGCTGCTGACCCCTGGCGCTGCAAGGATTGCGTCACGAGGGACGGCACGCCGTGGATCAACCGTGGCGACCTCAAGCAGTGCTCCACATGCAACCTGCAGAAAAGAGTCCGCTAAGGTGGTCCCCAAATGCCCAAAGGGAACCCTGCGACCATGTCCACGGGCTCACCCAAGGCATCTAAGGATAAGTCTGACACCGCCTCCATGGCTAAGCAGCTTGCCGACCTCCAGGCCATGGTCCAGAAACTCACGGTCGCCAAGTCGCCTCCTCCTTGGGCTGCTGCTGCTGCTGCTGCAGCTGCTGGGGGGAGTGTTTCTGCTGCTGGGGCGGGCGTCGGATTGGACAGCGGGTACCCCCATGGGGCTCCCACTGGTGACAACGGAGGCACCGCTGACCCGTCGGAGAAGCAGGTCAAGCGTGACCGCATCTAGAAGACCAATGAGCTCCTTAAGGTCTATGGTGGATCCTCCGTGGCCTCGGACCTGGCGCAGGTCAAGTCCCTCGAGCGCTTGGGCAAGGAGCTCGACGCCGAGCGCCCCTTGGGGGATCAGGTCACCTCCCTCACCACGAGACTGCGGAACTCCCGTGCCAAGGCCAAGCGCCTTCGCGAGGAGCATGCTAAGAAGCAGCTGGTCATCGACGAGCTGGTTGCCGAGTGGACGGTGCTCCAGGACTCTTTGGCCGAGGCAGATGCCGAAGTCTTGCGGCTGGAGGAGGAGGTTCAGCGCTTGGGCGCCGACCGAGCCCCTCCACCCACTGCTGGCAAGCCCACGCTCCATGAGCTGCTGCCGAAGTTCGCTGTGCACGTCCAGCAGCTTGGCGAGTTTGCCGTGGAGCTCGGCTTGGGCCCCAGCCTTCAGGCGGAGCTGGAGACGGCGGCCAAAGTCTTCGGGAAGCTCCATGGGCTTCCCCAGGCGAAGCCGCCGGCGGCACAGGTGCCCTCTGCTGCTCCTGCTCCTGCGACCCCTGCTGGGGAAGAAGGAGAAGGAGTTGCGCCCGCCGCCGTTCTCCTCGCGGGCCAGGTGCAGGTCCTCGCTGAGGAAGCTGCCAAGGACAACGTGGAGATCGATATCGACCTCATGGAGTCCGCCGAGCTACGGGAGGCGTTGGAGGCGGCAGGATTCACGCAGCCTGACGACGCCACCGACGCGGACATGCGGGTGGCGTGCAAGCGTGTCCTCGACTCCTTCACGCACGCGGCTACGGCGCACAAGGTGAAGGAGAAGGCTTGATCAGCCCCTTTGCGAGGGCAGCGCCTGCCAGCGCGGCTACACGAATGGCGCGTGCCATGCGCAGACTACCCGATGTGAGTGCTATGCGTCAGCCTATTGTGACGGGCTGTGCGGCCATCAAACTGACAGGAAATCCGATGGGCGGAATGTCAGCTGTGGCCTCCCGTGCACTGACAGCACGTGCCATGTGCAGGCTGTCAGCTGGGGCCTTCCTGGCAGGAAATGCCATGCGCGGAATGTCAGGGTTAACGAGGGGCGCCCAAAGGACAACGCGTACTATGTACACGTTGCTCCTAGGTGGAGTCCTGGCTGCACGGGTCCGCCTCCATTGGGCGAAGAGCACGGTGTGTCTCCTGCCAGCGGCCACTACTGCTCCTAGCCCGTCGCCGTCAATCTGTGTCCCAGTCCACGCGTCTTCATCGTGTGCGGCGCTTCCGCGTGGATGGACCTTGGTGCTGTTCTGGTGCCTATTCACCTTCTTCGAGGTGGGTTCTGCTGGGGCCCCCGACAGCGGTGGGTCAGCAAGGCCCCGACTGGTCAGCCACAGAATGTGCCCAAATTCTGTGGACGACCAGTCCGCGGGCTTGCTCCGCAACTGGCGGGAAGCACCGCCTCGATACCGAGCTGGCGGCAGCGTCGCAAGCATTCCAGAGGGGCGCGATCCCTTTGCGCAGGGTCCCAGCGCGGCCATGCCTGATGCCGGCGACGCGCGCTGTCAGGTGGCGGCCAAGCTGGTCACGGTCAACCCTGGCTCTCACGGGCCACTTCTCAATTTCCTGCCGCACTTCCTCGGCAAGATGGCCCAGGAGACGCGGGTGGTCGACCAGCGGCTTGGGGCCATTCCATCTGCTGCGCGCGATGCAGGTTGGCACGGCCCCTGGGCCCCCGCCGAGGAGACGGGGGGAGCGTCCGCGGCGTCGTGCTCTTGTGGGGTCTGCGTGTTCGCGCCTACCGACGTGATGGTCACGATGCCCCCCGATGGGGATCACGTCGTCTTTCCGCATCATGCTGTGGCAGCTCGTGTTCATTGGGGTGTCCCTGGTGGGCTGATTGTCTGTCGTCCGTGTGTGCGTGGTTCAGGGCGTCGGCGTCGCTGGGGCCGACCTTTCGATCCCATGGGCGCTTGCGAAGTGCGTGGCGGCGTGGAACGCACGCGGCCTCGACTGGGCCATCGGGGGTGACTGGTGCGCCGACGGCCAGAGCATCAGCATTGGTGACTGGGTTGGGTCCTTGGCAGGCACTCTCCTCCAGCCGTCGGCTTCTACGTGCGTCGCCTCCAACGGAGTGTCCACCATCGACTACTTCTTGGTGGCCAGCATCCTCGCGTCCCGTGTCTCTCGCCAGCCCGAGGTGATACATGGATGCGGGAGCGTTCCCAAACCCCGCTACCCTGTGGGTCTGGAGCTGCGTGGGAAGGACACGCCGACGCGGTGCCGCGCCCCCGATGAGCCTCGGCCACAGCTTGCTGTACCCCCTGTTGGCTGTGCTCGTTTTCGTTTTCCTTGGCATACTTTGGATAGCCTGTTTGTGCGAGCAGCCGCCGCGCCGCGCAGGGTTGCCGGCACGGGCCATGTCCAGTCCAGGCCCGATCGGGACCGATGCAGGTCCTTCGATCACTTTGGCCCATTCGGCAAAATAAAGCGCGATCGACCGGGGCGCGCGGGCCAACGTTGCCGCCGTCGGACCTGGGCCCATGGACAGGCCGTCGGCGAGGCAAGCACACCTGATGATGTCTTGCAGCAGCTCTGGGATTCCGTTCTGCAGGGTATTGACGATGAGTTTGCAGGCAGGCGCGACAAAATTGGCCCTGGAGCCAACCGCTTCGTCGGGCACCACGGCCCCCCCAATGCGAAGTGGCGGCGGCTGCGGTGGGAGCCACCTTGCAAGCGGCTGCGCCACGACACCGCAGTCTGGGCTTGGGCTACTGCGGCACGTTGGGCTACCCGCCTTCGCGCTGAGCGTCATCGGGTCCAGCGTTTTTGTCACCGGTTGAATGCTGCGGCGGCGCCTGCGTCTCCAGCTCCCAGGCAGTTGCAGAAGACGGCCAGTGTTTTCTACGACATCCTCTGCTTCCTGAGCTCCATTGTCGGGCAGTATAAAGTCCTAGCCAACATCGACCCTGATACCGCCAGTTCTTCCTGCGCGGGCTGGACGGGCTGATTGCGACATGGTTGATGCCATCGTGGGCCGCGCGGAGGACCTCGCTGCCGCGGCCCGCGGCGCGTCGGAGAGAGCCTGGCGTAGCTGGGCTCAGGCGGCCTTCAATGGGGGGGCGAGGGCTGCCTATGCTGCGTCCAAGGTCAGGGCGCAGCAGGAACTCGTTGCCCCCGAGGCCGACGCCCAGCCATACATTTTCGCGGACCGCACCATGGACGAGTGTAAGCGGATCTGGGCGACCCATGGGCTGGAAGAGCTGCCTCTACCCACGGATGCACCTACGTGGGAGGAGCTGCCTAGCCTGACGGTCCATGACCTACGGCAGGCCATCCAATTTTTTCTCTCGTCACCGCTTCGAGGCCCGCCCGCATTCCACCCAAGGCGCTCAAGCACTTATCGGATGAGGCTCTCGGTAGGCCGGCCCAGATGTTCGAGGTCTTTGAGCTGCGCTTACGGTTTCCCTCAGACCGCCTGTATAGCGAGATGGTCTGTCTCCCTAAGCCAAATGGTGGCCACAGGCTGACTGTGCTTAGCCATGCTCTCATACGAGTTTGGGCGAAAGCACGCCGATGGCTGTCGGCAGAGTGGCAGCGACAGCATAATTGCGACGAGATGTGGGGTATTCGAGGCAGCCACACATCCACGGCCTCGGCTTTCGCTCGCAATCTCGAGCAAGAGGTGGGAAGCCTCATCGGCGACCACGCTTGTACCATCCTCCTTGACATGGTGAACTGCTTTGACATGGCGAGCCCCCGTCCGCTCATGCGGGAGGCACGGGAGCTGGGTTACCCGATGCGCCTGCTCTGGATGTTGCTGCAGCTCTACCAGCAGCCAGGCGCATCAAGGCTCACGGCAGCCTCTCGTGCTCCTTCGTCGCCTTTTCAGGGGGTGCTGGTGGCGCCAGACTGGATGAGGGTGGGGCGCTTTCGGCTCTTTGCTGTGACCGCTGGCCTTCAATTCCTATTCCTTCCCCTCCTCCCGCCCCTCGCCATATGCATGCTCCTCCTGGTGCCCTCGTTCCTCCCCTGGCCCTGTCTGAAGATCAAATTATGTTCGCGAAGGGGCGCCCGTCCCGTGGCGGAGTGAACGCTCGGTGGGAAGTACTCAGCACGGCGGCATCGCACGGGTTTTCTGTATTGTGACTGAGCATGGTCTCTCGCCCTGCATGCCCCCCGAACTCCGCGCGCCCCGCGGCCCCCGATGTCGGGCCCCTCGCCAGCCCCGGCCTACTTCGAGCACAAAGCAGCGAAGACGTCGGCCCCATGGCGCCTGGCGCGCCACGCCCACGCGTGGACGTACTCGCCGATGCGGTCGTGGTCGGCGCTCTTGATCGAGGACGGGAGCGCCGTCTTGACCTCGTCCCAGCTGCCGTCCGCCGCCTCCGTGCCGTGCTTAATCTTGACCATGCGGACGTTGCCGTCTTTGTCCTACGCGCGCGCGGCCTTCGCGACCACCCACTCCTCCTTCTTGTGGCTCACCACGCCGTGCGACAAGGCCAGCCTGCGGTAGTGGGCGCGGAAGCGCTCCCGCCCGCGCCTTGGCCGCGACCCCAGGCATTGCTTGGCGGGCCCCGCTGCCCTCGCGCACCCGAGGCAATCCTTGCGGTCGCAGCAAGGCGAACAGATCAAGTCGCCAGCGGCGAAGGCCTCGTAGCAGTCGGCGCCGCCGGTCAGGCAGATCGCACCGCTGCCGAGGTGCTCCTTGACGGCCTCGTCGCTCTGGGCCCCGCTCAAGGGCACGCCGCCGCCGCCGGCCATGCTCGTCTCCCAGGGGAGCTGGATGAGAGCCATGTTGGCCCTGTCGCCGCGCTCAACCATGATGAGCTAACGGTTCCAGATCAAGCGGTAGCCGGGGTATTTCGCAGAATGCTTGGAATTCCACTAAAACTGACAGAAACGCAGGAATCCGCGCAAGCAGGCGCTGAGGAAGAGGAGGCGGAGGGGGCGGGGGCTGATGATGGGGCCCCTTGCCGGCGCAACCCAAACGCAAGACAGCGACATCGACATTTGCAGTTTCATGTTCCGAATGTCTTTCGGTGATTTACGCGCTCAGCAAAAAGTTTTGCAATTGTCGGGGCAGATCCCCCCCCCCGTGGCGGGCGCAATCGCCGCCGGCAGCTATAATGAAGCATGTCTGCATTGGGAGATAGCCCAGGGAAACGACGCCCCCCGTTCGGCCCGCGCGGCCGTTTTTTTTTTTTTTTTTTTGGGGGTCTGCGAGCGTGCGAAACCTTTTTTTCTATGTTGTATGGGCAGTTTTTTCTGTGTTCTTGTCTGACGGCCCGCAAAACCTAGCTGTGTGTGTATATGTATATATATATATATATATATATATGAGGTCTGGGAAGCCCGCAACTTGGCCAGGCCTTCGTTCTGTGTGTGTGTGTGTTTTCTGGTCTGGGATCTCAGAAAACCTTGCCGGGCGTTTTTTGCGCCTTCAAAACTTGGCCAGTTTTTTTTTGCTAGTGTATGTATGTATGTATGTATGTATGTGTATATATATATATATATGTATATATGTATATAAGGGGACGGCAGTGTAGTTCGCAAGCCCCCAACCTCCAGGGTGCGTTTCGTGGGCTCCCAGACCAGATAAACCAGACAGGCCCGCGCCTGGCCAGGTCTCGTGGGTTCCCCAAACGAGAAAACAAAAACAAACAACGCCCGGGCATGTTTTCTGAGCTCCCAAACTAGAAACACAAAGAAACAAACGCCTGGCTAGGTTTTGTGAGCTCCCAGATTAGAAACCCCCCAAACAATGCCAGCGCCTGGCCAAGTTTGTGGGCTTCCCAGACCAGAGAAAAACAGACAACCAAACGCCTGGTTAGGCTTCCTGAG